GCTTTTCGTAATGCTGGTGGAGTTAGTGAACAATGGGTCATGGCTTTAAGTTTAGAGATGCGTAAAAACATAGGAATTACTTTAACAGATGAATAATCCCTCTTGCTTATCCCATTTAAAATGTACAATTCAATGGTTTTTAATATATTCCCAGAAGTGCAACCACCACCACAATCTAATTTTAGAATATCTTCATCACCCCAAAAAGAAACCCTGTGCCCATTAGCAGTCACTGCCTATTCCCTTCTCCCCCTCAGCCCCTCACAACCACTAATCTATTTTCTGTGTCTTTAGATTTGCCTATTCTGGACATTTCATGTAAATGGAATGATACAACATGCAATCCCTTGTGACTGGCTTCTTTCACTTAGCATAATGTTTGCAAGATTCATCCATGTTGTAGCATGTATCAGTACTTCATTTCTTTTTATTGTTGAATAATATTCCATCATATGGATAAACCACATTTTGTTTATCCAGTCATCATTTGTGTGTCCATTCATGGACATTAGGCTTGTTTCTACTTTTTAGCGATTATGAATAATGCTACTATGAACATTTGCGTGGATGTATGTTTTAATTTTTCTTGCGTATATATCTAGGAGTAGAATTGCTGAGTCATGTGGTAACTCTGTGTTGAACATTTTGAGGAACTACCAAACTGTTTTCTAAAGTGGCTGTACCATTTTACATTTGCACCAGCAGCAAATGAGAGTTCCAATTTCTCTGCTCGTTATTGTCCGTCTTTTTCATTATATCCATCCTAACGGGTGTGAAGTGGAATCTCATTGTAATTTGGATTCGCATTTCCCTAATGACTAACGATGTTGAACATTTTTTCATGTGCTTATAGGCCATTTTTATATCTTCTTTGGAGAAATGTCTATTTAGATCCTTTGCCAATTTTTAAATTGGGTTATTTATCTTTTTATAAATGAATTGTAAGACTTCTTTGTATATTCCAAATACAAGTTCCTCATTGGATATATAATTGGCCATGGTAATTTACACAGGTTGGCTATCATTTGGCTGCTTTTTTCACTTTAAAAATCTCTTGGATATATTTCAATTTCAGTATGTATGAGCAAGTTTCAATTTTTAAAAAACGGTTGAATAGCATTCCATATTTGAAATATCCCCTAATTATTGCCACCTGAATGAGGTCTTCTGTCTGTATATTCTTATAGGACATATTCTGAACCACACTCTTCTCTCTTTTACATTTTGGGGTATTAGTCACATCCACCGTACTAGATTTATGCTCTGTGAGATTGAGGAACATGTACTCTGCATCTTTTTGGATGTGTGTGTGGTTTTTCTCACCACAGCACTTAGCACATACCACTCTGCTGGTTGGTAGGTTTAGAGTAGATGATTCCCACTGGCTCATTGTAAACTCTCTATGAAGACTTTTCCCCTTTAAGTCTTGCTTATGATGCTATAGAATGCGCAATCTTAGAGTTGGAAGGGACTTCATGGGTTCTGTAGTCCAGTGGAACTCAAAATGTGGTTCACAGACTGGTGCCAGTCTGTAATCTCTTAGTGACCCATGACAATTGAGTACATAAATGGAAAGTGTTTAGAAACTTTTATTGTATTTGATATTGCTGTGAAAACCATACAATACATGTTATTGTATTATAGAAAAATATCAGACCACAGTTGATAGGAAATTTTAAAAATGTCTTCACCAAAGACAATTGAGAGATACTTCTGTTGTCCAATCTGTCACCCACAGCAAAAATCCCTTCTGTAGCCAATCAACTAGAATTTACTTAATCAGTTTAGTTTATTAATTCAAGAAATATTTAAGATCCCCCTAAAACATGTAGTGAACTGGTAAAGCCTGTAGGTCCATATTCCTGGTTTTTCACTTACTAGGTGTGTAAACGTGGGGAAGGTTCTTAGTCTTTCTGGGCCTCAGTTTCCCAATTTCCACCTCTATAAAATGGGGGAAATAAGAGTACCTATTCTCATTGGGTTGTTTTGAGGAACAGATGAATAAACATATATGTAGTACTAGAACAGTCCCTGGTACATGATAATCATTCCATAAATATTCGTGAAGGTGATGATGCTGATGCTGGGGATAGGGATGCTGGATATTGTGGATACAATTATGTAGAGGCATAGCCCTTGCTATCTACTAGCTAATGAGGGAGTATGGACAAAGAGACAATTTCAGTGCAGTAAGTGCTGAGACAGGATGAGTACATAGGATATTCAACGTTGTCCCAGAGGGTATATTAGTTAGTGTAAAGCTAAGCTTCTGTAACAAAGAGAGCTCAAATACAGTGACTTAAAGGCTACAGAAGTGTATTTCTCTTTCACCTAATAGTTCTGAAGTGGATAGTTGTGTTAGTAATGTAGACTGACTCCTGTAACAAACAATTCCAAAATCCAAGGGACTAAATAATAACATGCTTATTTCTTGCTCACATTATAGTCCAATCAGGTGATTAGACAGTGGCCTTCCTCGTGGCCATTTAGAGACCCAGGCTCTCCGACTCTATTTGAGTGACCATCTGCTCATGAAGTGGGGGAAAACGAATGAATTTGGAGGGATGACTGCTGCCACAAGGATCCACTAGTGGTATAATATAGCTGGAGACCAGAACCTGGGGGGAGAGGATGACAAGAGATAAGGCTGGAGAGGCAAGGAGAGGCCAGATTGTAAAGGGCCTTGAATGCCAGGTTAAGAAGGCTGGATATATGAATATGATAGAGGAATGGAGATAGGAACACAATATTATTTTTTAAAACCTTTTTAAAGAGCACTCTGGCTGTAATATAGAGAGAATTTTGGAGAGAAGTAAGAGGGTACCATTTAGAATCAAATCTATTGCACTAATCCAGGCAGAAATTGATGGTTTGAATCAAGGTAATGTCAATGGGAATGGTGAAAATTAGATGAATCTGGGGAATGTCTTCAGGACTTGCAGACTGATGGACTAGAGAGAACTGGTAAGGATGAAGGTGGAGACCAGGATGACACCCTGCCAACCATTCTCTGAAATGGGGAACCTGAAGGAGGAGGGTTCGGGGGTGGGCTGAGGTGGGGGATTATGAGTTCAAGTTTGGCTACACTGAGTTTCGGGTGACTCTGAGGTTTTCCAGTGAAGCCCTCCATTGGTCTTTGGAGATAGAGGCATGGATTTCAGAAGAGAGCTACACTAGAAGTAAGGTCTCACAATGTATAAATGGCAGAACAACAGGAGTCACTACAACAGCAAAGGATACCATGTAGAATGAGAATAGAGTACACTCAGGAGAGAGCCTGGTGGAGCATCAGTGAGCATCATATGTGAGAGAGACCACAAAGGAGGCTTAGAACAGTGACCAGAGGTGGCAAGATAGTGTAATGTCAGAGGAACCAAGGAAAGAGGTGATTTCGAAAAGGAGGATGTGGTCGAGTGCCATGTAAGAGAAATTGCAAAGAGCATTTATCCACAGTGACATTACAAAGATCAGTTTGGGTGGCTTGGTGGGGGCAGAAGCCAGGCTAGGTGGACTGACAGAGAGTGAAGGCTATGGAGGGCAGATCACAAGTGCATACCACTCTCTCAGACAGGCAGGCTTCAAAGAGGATGGGAGAAAGAGGCAGTAGCTTGATGGAATGTGAGGCTGAGGAAGTTTGCTTTATGTACGTGATGGGAGAAACCTATGCATGATCACCAATGAGAAGATGAGGTTGGGTAAAGATCAAGGTGAGAAAGGACATAATTAATGGAGGTGGGAAAGGAATCGAGAGCATCCATGAATGGGATTAGCCTTGAATATGAGCTCCCTTCCCCATAAGTAATTTCCTTTGTGTACAGCTCTAAATATTAGAACTATATTTCTTATACTGAAGGGAAATACGTTTCCTTGTAACTCTCATCGATGAGTTTTATTTGTGCTTCCTCAACTCTTACATGGCTGCAATCTTGTTTCCTCTTCAGTTTCTTTTATAAACACCTATAGTTCCTTCAAGCATTTTTCATATGATTTGATTTCAAGGTTTCATTTCAGCAATGTGCAGCTTAAAATGTCAAAAATTTTCCAGATATTGTTTGGCACATGTGGTACCAAGCCCACTGTTGATGTTTTCTTTCTTTTTTTTTTTTGTGAGGAAGATCAGCCCTGAGCTAACATCCGTGCCAATCCTCCTCTTTTTGCTGAGGGAGACCGGCCCTGGGCTAACATCTGTGTCCATCTTCCTCCACTTTATATGGGACGCCACCGCAGCATGGCCTGACAAGCAGTGCATCGGTGCGCGCCTGGGATCTGAACCCCGGGCCGCCAGCAGCAGAGCGCACGCACTTACCCCCTACGCCACAGCGCCAGCCCCATGTTTGCTTTCTTAATATGAACAGTATATATTTATTATTGCTCTATAAATTGCATTTTGAGCTTTTTAAAAATTACATTATATAAACATTGCTTACTATGCTTATAAACAATTAAAACCTTCAAGTCTTTTTCCAAGAACTGCTTTAAGCCAGCTCTCCTACGTTAAAAGCTAAGTATGGGTCTCAAGTTTCTTTTTGCTACTTTTGACTTACTATTCCAAGCTGTCATCCTATTGGATAGGATATAGACTCTGACGTCCAACAAATTATTCTCTTTTCCAGTCAGTGCTATCAGCTTCAACATTTACAAGTTGGGGCCGGCCCCGTGGCTTAGCGGTTAAGTGCGCGTGCTCCGCTACTGGCGGCCCGGGTTCGGATCCCGGGTGCGCACTGACGCACCGCTTCTCCAGCCATGCTTAGGCCGCGTCGCACATACGGCAACTAGAAGGGTGTGCAACTATGACATATAACTATCTGCTGGGGCTTTGGGGAAAAAAAAGGAGAAGGATTGGCAATAGATGTTAGCTCAGAGCCAGTCTTCCTCAGCAAAAAGAGGAGGATTGGCATGGATGTTAGCTCACGGCTGATCTTCCTCACAAAAAAAAAAAAAATTCACAAGCTTGTTGTAGAAGGCAGAATTCTAAGATGATTCCCATGATTCCCACCCCCTGGAATCCATACCTTAGTGTAATCGTCTCCTCTTGAGTGTGGGTAGAACCTGTGACTTGCTTCTAACCAATAGAATATGGCAAAGATGAAGGGATTTTGCAGATGTAATGAGGGTCCCTAAGCAGTTGTCTTTGAGTTAATCAAAAGGGAGAACATCCGGGGTGGGCTTGACCTAACTAGGGGAGCCCTATGAAAGACCTTCCCTGAAAGAAGAGACTTGAAGCAGGCAAGACTCTCTCTTGCTAACCTTGAAGAAGCAAACAGCCATATTGGGAACAACCTAGGGAAAGAAGTGGCCTCTAGGAGTTGAGAGCCTCAGCCTTCTGACCGCAAGGACCTGAATTCTGCCAACAACTGGAATGAGCATGGAAGAAGTCCTTCAGTCTCATGAGACCGCTGTCCCCGCCAACACCTTGATTGTGGAGGACCCAGCTGAGGACCTGTGAAAACTGTGGGATAATAAATAGATGTTGTTCTAAGCCACTAAGTTAGGGGTAATTTGTTATGCATCATAGAAAATGAACGCACTTGTCTTCAGCATTACCATTTACGTCTTGGGTAAGAGAGTTGCACTGCACAGGGAGAGAGCACCATCCGTCAAGACTCCCTCCTCTATTCCTCGCCTGTGGCTTCCATAGCATCCCTGATGCTCCTTGCTCACCCAGGTTAATGAACTTTGCTTGGTGAGAGGTAGAAAACATCACCACAGTGGACCACATATCAGCTCTGAGCCAGAAGAAAACTGACTCCATAAAAACAGAGGACACATTGAAAACCAGTACTGTTCGTGTTGTATACTATTGCAGTACTTATTAATAGCTCTGCTGATTCATTTTGTGACAAAGCATCTGAATCAGGCATTAGTGGATCATCTCTGTTGTCGTGAGAGAGACATTTACCTCAGGATAAAGAATGTCTGTTAATATTCTGGGCACACTTGAGCCTCTTGACTAAGAGGCCAACCCTGCCCTCTCATTAGTACTTTGTGGGTGTCAGAACCTTCATTAAGATTCCGCATCCTTTAATGTGGTCACCTTGGCATGTTTTCTGAATCACCTTAGTGGCTTAGGGAGGATTGGTTTTTTCAAATAATAGGCAAGAATGCAGAAAGTAATTGGATTTGGTATACTTTGTAGCATCTCATTGGATTGCTTTTAGAAGAGCTCTTGAAGAAAGGCTTTGTTTAAATCAGAACAAAGCAAACAGGTTTTTGCCCAATGTCTGTTCCTTGTGATGCTTTATTTTTCAGTTTACCCCAATGAATTAAGCACCTGTCATGAACAAGTACACAGAACTGTGCTGCATGCTGGGAAGAGGTTCTGTCCTCACTTCCTTCTCATGTAGAACTGGCTCACTATAAGCCAGAGCTGTTTTAGTTTCTCCTCTTCTGCCAGAATGTTTAATTGGATAGTCAAGACTGACATAGAAAGGCTCACCTACAGAGGACAGGGCTCCACATTTAGGAATTATCACATTGTGACCTTTTCCAATCCTGTTATTACAACTGTTATATTTAATAACTGCAGGCATATCTAAGCTTTTAAAGGAAAGGGGCACCCAGTAAATGCTTAATTCGTATCACCTCCGAGACCTTGATGGAATTGATCAGAAAACCCCAGGCTACCCCTTCTTGCTTACCAGTGTGAGTGGGGTTTCAAGGTTTGAGGAAAGTGTCCCACACGGAATTACCAATTCACAGAATAATTTGCTTTTAATCTGAGGTAGCTTTCTTTCAAAGAAAACCTTTTTCTTTCTTAGTTATAAATGTATACGTGTACCCTAAAGACAATATGAAAAATATAGAACAGTATAAAAAAGAAAGTAAAAAATACTCATGGTCCATGTTACCCCGTGTGCCAGTCACTGCTTCTCCTCTCCTTCCAGGCACATGGTTGGATGGATAGTATTTCCCCATTGCCTTGAAGTTAGGCAGAGTCATGTGACTTGCACTGGCCAATGAAATGTGAGTGGAAGTTCACATGTCACTGATAGGTAAGAGCATTTAATTGCCAGTGTCTGAATCTCCACCTCTCTCTACCCTTGCCTCAGTGATCGTAGAAGCCCATGCTGATATTGCCATGTAACCTGAGACTTCAGATGGAGGACAGCTGTCCAAGACAGTCACCTAGAACCACCAATAGAACCTGCATGACCAAGAATAAACCTTTGCTGTTTAAAGCCCCTGAAATAGTAAAGTTACTTGCTGCTGCAGTAGGACCTAACCTATCCTGCCTAAAACAATATCCATAATCCCACAACCCAGGGATAATTTTTATTTACATTTAAAACATTTTTGTCAAGGATATTTTATTTATTGATTTTTTAAAATTTTTTATTTTTTGTGAGGAAGATCAGCCCTGCACTAACATCCATGCCAATTCTCCTCTTTTTGCTGAGGAAGACTGGCCCTGAGCTAACATCTATTGCCAATCCTCCTCCTTTTTTTTTTTTCCCTTTTTCTCCCCAAGGCCCCGGTAGATAGGTGTATGTCATAGTTGCACATCCTTCTAGTTGCTGTATGTGGGATGCCGCCTCAGCATGTCCAGACAAGCGGTGCGTCGGTGCGCACCTGGGATCTGAACCCAGGCCACCAGTAGCGGAGCGCATGCACTTAACTGCTAAGCCACGGGGCCGGCCCCTCAAGGATATTTTAAATGTATGATTTTATATAATTGGGATCTTAATGTTTTGTATTCTAACTTTTACCACTAAACATATTGTGAAAAGATATTTCTTTGCTTTCTAATGCCTCCAGCACATCACGTTTTGTGTTTTTTTTTTTTCTTCTTAGCACTTGCTACCTTGTGAAATTATCATTATTCATTTACCTATTTACTTGGCTTTTGCTATTTTTCTCCTTTGGGGTATAGGTTCCATGAAGGCAGGGATCTTTTTTATCTTGTTCACTTTTGTTTTCCCCAGTATCTGACAAGTCCTTGACACATAACAGGTGCTTAATAAATATTTGTTGAAAGAATAATGAATGAATATTCCATATGAATTTACCTTAAGTTATCTAACAATTTCCCTTGGTTGGGCATTTTCATTTTTTCCCTTTGAAGACCATACTTTTACAGAAATCTTTTTGTTTATCTCTGATTACTTTGCTTAGTATAAATTCCTAGAAGTGGGAATAATTACTACATCAAAAGGCTTGAATAATTTTTTGGGGGGCATGAAGAAGATTAGCCCTGAGCTAACATCTGTTGCCAATCCTCCTCTTTTTCTTTTTTTATTGATGTTTTAATAGTTTATAGCATTGTGAAATTTTGGGTTGTACATTTTTGTTTGTCCATCACCATATATATGTTTCCCTTCACCCCTTGTGCCCACCCCCCACCCCCATTGCCCCTGGTAACCACAATACAGTTTTCTCTGTCCATGTGTTGGTTTATATTCCACATATGAGTGAGATCATACAGTGTTTGTCTTTCTCTTTCTGGCTTATTTCACTTAACATAATACCCTCCAGGCCCATCCATGTTGTTGCAAATGGGACGATTTTGTTTTTTTTTTTTTATGGCTGAGTAGTATTCCATTGTATATATATACCACATCTTCTTGATCCAATCATCAGTAGAGGGACACTTAGGTTGCTTCCACTTCTTGGCTATGGTGAATAATGCTGCAATGAACATAGGGGTGCATAAGCCTCTTTGGATTGTTCCAATCCTCCTCTTTTTGCTGAGGAAGATTGGCCCTGGGCTAACATCCGTGCCCATCTTTCTCTACTTTATATGGGACACCTGCCACGGCATGGCTTGATGAGCGGTGTGTAGGTCCGCACCCGGGATCCGAACCTGCGCACCCAGGGCCGCCGATGCGGAACACGCAAACTTAACCACTACACCACCGGACCGGCTCCCTGAATAATTTTAAGGCTCCTGATTCATATTGCCCAACTACCCCTCAAAAAAGTTGTATCAACATTCACTCCCAACAGTGTATGAGAGTACTTAGTTAATGCTCACTAACACTGCATATTTTTTTTTGTCAGGAATATATTTTATAAATCATCACTCAATATGCTCTTTTAAATTTTTTTCTGCCTTCTTACTTGAATATGGGTTTGTCAAATGACCTGGGAATTCACATCTGCTACTACTATTAAAAGTAATAAACTTTTAAAGTAATAAACTGCTACTTTATTAAAAGTAATAAAGTCACATTGAAAATCCAGAAGGAACTGGGCAACTCTAGTTTTCTGTTCTGATTTTTTGCTCTTTCCTAAAACCCCCTCTCCTACTGGGACCACCCCTACAGTTTCCAATCTAATTCCAATCTTCTTATAGGAGAAGTTTGATTAATAGCATGGTTGCCCAAGGGTTGCTACCACACAAAAAACAGGAGATTGAATTGTCATTGAACTAATTAGTTTTTGCCAGTAATTGGGAAGAGCCTCAGTTATCAACAAATAAAATACTTAAATAGAGAGAAGGCTGTTAAAAAGCTGGAAAGCAAGATCTGAAATTTCGTTGTTTGCCCATGGATATTCAGTTAATTGTTTGCTCTTAGAGGTAATTTTAAATTCTTCAAAGCACTGTATATGTTCAAAACAATATTGCTTTAGAGGAGGATGAAGCACCATGTCCTACCTGAGGAAACCAGGCTGACTAAGCCAGCAAATGGAAGTAAGAGGTTGAATCCATTTACAAAACTTAGTTTCCTGCTGTTCATTCCATGTTGCCCAAGCTTCCCGATGGTAATGAAATTACCTTCAAGTGAAAGACCAAGACTTGGGAGAGAAATTGAGCAGGAAAATCAATACTAAGTTTCAGTGGTTCCTGACTAGATCGTTAAGCTCCTTTTTTTAGCACACAGAGAGACAGATCCAGGTGACTCAGTCCTGTCTCCCTGGTTGGTGGGCAACATCATAAACAATATTAGATTTTGGTTTCTTTAAAAACTATAAAAATCATTTGAGTCTGAGAGGTTACCCATTTTCTTCAATGGTGTCAATACTGACTTGAGATGTTCATCTTTAATTGAGTTGGCATTTTAATTAGGTATTAACTTTCTCCGTGAGAATGGAGATGAAAGGAATTATTTGAGCTGCAGCTGTTTGAAAGGAGAACATTTGTCAATAACCTCAGAAAATGCTGGCAGTGAGGAAAGTCAGAAATGATCCCCTGATCTTTTCTCATGGGGTGTGCTTTGAATCTGATGTTGTTAAATATAAAAGAAAAATGCATGTAGTATAGTTTGGAAAAGGTTTTATTTCAGTCAATCTTGTAAGAATATGATCCTGATCTTTTTTCTTCCTCAAAATTGCTGAAGATTAGTTTTATAACTTGTACATATCTGTATATTATTTACATGTATATATTTATATGTATGTATATATTTGTATTTATATGACTCTATAGCTGAAGTTGGCAAACTGTGGCCTGAGGTTCAAATACAGCTGCTGCCTGTTTTTGTACATAAAGTTTTATTGGAACACAGCCATATGTTTTTATACGTTTATGTGTTATCTGTGGTTGCTTTTGTGCTACAATGAGAGAGTTGAGTAGTTTTGATGGAGACTGTATGGCCCTTTACAGAAAAACATTTACTGATTCCTATTCTATAGCCAGATCTTTGTACTTAGCACATGTTTGAATCAAAAGAGAATAAATATTCTTATAAAAATATCTATTTATGAAGTGTATGCTATGCAAGGAAGGTGCTTGTTGACATGGAGGTAAAAATGTGTAGAAGAATGTGTAGAAACTCAAGAAAAGAAGCTCAGAATGTTATTAGAGGCCTCTAAAGAGATGGAAAGAAAAGTAATACTGAGTTGTCAATCTGGAATTAATTAAAACTTTACCAAAATGCCTATGAAAATGCATATATCAGAGGATTCAATGTAATTCAATTAAAGAAATTAAACAGTTATTATGTGGCAGGCATCGTGCCAAGCCACAGAGGTTACAGGATGGATGACTCATAGGCCTACCACATGAAGAACTAAGAAATATTTTTGTTGGGTTTTATTCTCCAGAGCTCTTGCTGGCTAGAGCACTGATCAATTACACCATTGAACTGGTACATTGTGCAAAGGCAAGAATAATGATCGAAACTGAACTCCTTGTCTTTCCCTTCAAACCTGTTTCTCTTCGTGTACTCTTGGTTTGGGGGAGACCTCACCACCAGCTGACCAACTTGGTCATCAACTTGTCTGCTTTCTCTCTCTCATTTACTAGAATTTGCTTTCCACTTTGCTTCACCTGGCTTGCTGAGGTACCACCTCCTCTCGGAAGATTCCCTGACCCCATCTCTTCTTCTTGCCATACCAGTACTAGTCTGGGTTATATATCTGCCATGCATGTTTCCATAGATGCCAGTATGTACTTCTCATGATGGGGCCCTTGCACTGTGTTTTAATGATTTCTTTACTTGGGAGGAGTCCGTTTTCACATCACGTAAAACTAGGAAATGGTAATGTTTGTATGGAACATGGGTAAATGGATGTGTCCAGAAGTAGTGAACCCAGATTTTCCAGCTGCCCCAGGGTCAGTGCATATGTGAGTATATACACATTCACTTATTAATTAGTTAACTAATTCTGCTAATGCTCATGAAGCATTCTCTTCATGCAGGCCACTGTTATATGTGCTGGGGATATAGGAGTGAACAAGGCAGACAAAGTCTGTGTCCTCGTAGAATTTGCATTCTAGTGAGGACAGACAATGAAGATTTTCAAACCAACCTCACCACCACCACTGCCATTTTGAAGATAAAAGAAAACTGAGACCTATTATCTACTTTAAACTCTTATTGGAACCATTAAACTTTCATTCATGTTAGAAGATATTGTAAATAGGTAGGCTTTTCTAAGCTGTCACATAATTAATAAACTTTACAATCAAGAATATAGTAATATAAATTCATGAGAAGGAAAACAATCATAAATATATAAAGTGAGGTAGTGATAAGCGTTATGAAAAAAAAGCAGGAGGAAGAGATGGAGCCTGAGTGGGTAGCTGGTGGCCGATTTTGGTAAGGTGGTCGGGGACCGCATCTCTGAAGGCATGATGCTTGGCACCTGAAGGGACCAGGAAGAAGACAGGGGTGAGTGGGGAGTGCCCAGAGCAGAATGAGAGAGTCAGAGAGAAAGGCATGGGCCAAATTATGGAAAACCGCTCAGCCTTGGGAAGGAGTTTGGATTTCATTCTGAGTATGACAGGGACAGCCATTGGAGGGTTATGAGCGGGCGAGTGATGTGGTTTGATCTGGTTTTACAAACTTCCCTAAGGTTACTCTGTGGAGAACAGAACAGGGAGCTGTAGAAAGGGAAAGTAGAAAACCAGTTAGGAGGCTCTGGCCATCTGGGCGGAGTTGATGGACTTGGACAGTGATGTTGGCAGTGGTGGCACTGAGATGTGGTCGGACGTGGGATCTGCTTTGAAGGTAGAGCTGTCGTGACTTATTGAAGAGTTGACTGTGAGGATGAGGAAAACAGAGGGGCCAATCTTGAATGACTCCAAGGGTTTTGTCTGAACGACTGGATGTATGAAGTGGTTATTTACACACACACACACACACACACACCACATGTCATTGAGCCAACTGAGTTAAATGAAAACTATTTATTAAAGAATTTAAATAATATTATACATAAATTCTTCAATAAAAATAAAAATTTCCTCAAGCCTCTTGGCTTTTATTTTATGAAATAAAAGTGTCTAAAGAAAAAGTTGGTCCTTAGACTTTTCTTTTAATTTAATTTAACCTCCTCGTATCATGACGAAGGAATGGAGGCCCAGAGAGAGGCTCAGAGGCTCGTGCTAGGGTCACAGTGTCCACGTATGCCAGAACCGACAGTAGAACTCCCTTCTTGTATTTCCTTTACAATTTGAGCATAAATCACCTTGCTTTTCATAAAAGCACTGTTTTCTTTTTGTGTCTATTTAAAATAATACTTGAAGCTCAGCATGAGAAATCAACTCTTGGGAATTGTTTTAAAGTAGTGACTTAATAATTTAAAAATTTTCTCAACACATATACACATACTTTTTAAGATGTCCATAGCTCCAGGCCTGCTGAGGTTACATATTCGATTTCACTTCTCCTCCAAAGAAAGGTGAAATCTGATCAGTACTACTTTGTTCAAATTCCACTTTCTCTTCTACTTTTAGTTATTCTATATGGAAATAATCTACTGAATTACTTTAAAGTTGCTTATATGAACTTTTCCTCTGTAGAATACCTTTAGCCTTAAGTTTATAATCTTCAGTACACAGATGGGACAAAATGTACCTGAATATATTAAAATTTCTTTCCTCAGAGATGAAAGGAAGAAGGAAGTTTAAACTATGAGGGTTTTTTTTTTTTTTTGCTAAAGTGAGCATAATGTAGTCTTATTAATAATTCTCTTCCTTGTCACTCAGCACATCTTGTGATACTGAACAGGCTTTTATGGTATTTTTCTTCTCCTGAATTTCTAATATTACTGTATTCTTTAATGTGAAGTTTATTAATTGTGTAACAGCTTAGAAAAGTTTACCTCTTCATAATGTTTCCTATAATGAATAAAAGTTTAGTGATTCAAGTAAGTAACACATTGTAAAATGACGGTAGTGACGGTGAGGTTGATTTGAAAAATCTTCAAGGTTCTTTCTCACTTGAAGAAACTATGAATCTTGTCTCTATGACATTTGGGTTATCCTTCTAGACTAGACTGGATATTATGTGGCACTAAAATTTAAATATCATGTCCTTACGTAAGGCCCTATATCTTTAATCATGGCCTTTAGGGAGATGCCCCCCTCCCAAATTAATACAATTCATATTGCACTGAATTAAAGTATAGTATTCAATTCTTATTTCTCTAGGATTAGGAGGAGCTAATGGAGGGAGTTTTGGTGGAGAGATAAACAATGGCAAAAAGTTTACTCTCCTGTAATGTTTACTTTTCACACAGCACCAAAATGATGTTTTGGGGTAAGTTGAGTCACTAAAAATGCAAGTGAAAAACACAATTGTCTGTAGTTTTAGTACATTGACCAGGACCTGGAGTTTGCTAATGGGAAACATGCAATCTTAATCCTAAGTGGGGAGGAATCAGCTGGTCCTGGGAGCTAAGAGAAATCAGGACACACAGAGGGGGATGAAGTCCAGGCACCTAGAGGGCCAGAACCACTGAGGTGAATAGGCACAATTTGGATCCCCTCCTCTAGGGTGTGGTGGCTGAGAGAAGACTCTAGCCACCTGCCTGCTTTATAAGTCACACTTGACAAGTTAGGCAGCTGTGATATTTACTCTTTTGATTATCCAGTCCTTGGCTCTGCCTTACATATGCTACCCACTTCTCCACTCCAAACTGGCCATTCTAATAAACAAATCAACCATCCCCAGAACCTCCACCAACATATAAAAATTGGTATAAGTAAATTCTCTTCAATTCTAAGAGAGGGAGATAAATGTACCATGTAAACTGTGTGTTCTTCTGAGATGTCTTCTCTTATAAATTAGCCTGTAGTCACTGTCCAAAACTCAGCCCCCATTGTTCTTAAACAAAGATAATCACTCTCGTTGCCCAAATCAGCAACCATTATATTTCTGAGATACAGCCATGTAACAATAGGAAGTCTCTGTTTTTTATTATTTTGAATTTTTTCAGATTGCTTATTTCATGAGCCCTGACACCTAGTTATATTTCACTTGTCCCTACTAGAATCATCTCATTCTTCTTTGGTTTTAATTATGGAATCCTTGGCCCACGGCCCCACCCAACCCTCCCCCCACCACACGTCCCTTCACACAATTTTAGTCAACATTTCCTCTTATTCAGGCAAGGCTGCCATCTAGACTCTAGAGACAAGACTACAAGCCTAGGAATAAAGGGTCAGCATTTGCATCTGTTTGGAGTTAGGCTCAGAGGAGGCAATTTACTACGATCTTATCTTTATATTAAACTCTACTATCATAACCTCTGATTGCTCGGAAACAAACCAGGGTATTTTTTATGCCCAAGGCCTTTCCCTCTGCCATTTCTCTTTGTAGACTCAATGGGACCACCTGTTTGCAGCTCCCATGGTCTGTCTCCCTTCACTTGGCCTTATTCTTCCCTATAACTAACCTAAACAAGTCATTATTTACAAAAATGATTGTATATTTAAAATAATATGAGTTTTGTGAGAATACGGCATGATCAATTTCTGACTTGGAAGAAACATAGGGAACATTTTAATTTTTTTTTAAACCCTTTCTAACTAACTAATTCACTAAATGTTATTTGATCCTAATGACTAATAAAGATTTTTTATAGTGTTGATTAGCTATAAGGGTATTTAATGGTATTTTAAATCAGCCCTAAAATATAGATAAAGCAACTGATCTGAGGGTCACCATGAGGTTTGTCTGTGTGTCCACCTAGAATTTACGAATATCCAGGCAGCTGCTTGGCTTCCCCTAGAGGACTGGTAGATGGAACATGGGAACCAGAGGCCAAACAGGAGGCATCAGCTGGTTTCCAATCTTAGGAACAAAAGGAAAATCACAAGCAGGAGAAAGTTGAAGGACTCCAAGCAAAAGGATGGAACAAGTGACATC